GCCCGGAGCCCGTGGGGCGGCGTCTGGAAGCGCGGGCGGCCGGCGGCTCCTTCGGCTCTTTCACCGGTGCTGCCGCCTAGGTTTCCCCGCGAGGACGGAGACCCTCCCTGCTTCAGACTTCTCAGGAGACCTGTGCATTCGCCGCCACAGAGCTTCAGACACTGTGGACTGGAGGCGTCCGAGGAGACGAAGTGAACCTTGTGCAACTCCGATCTCGCCAGGTTCCCTTTTGAGCATCGTAGTGGGGCAGGAATGGAAGAACCCACCTTGCAGCTTTTCTGCAGTGTAGCTTGCCGGATGTGCGCCTCGGAATGAACGGGAGACTTACAGTAACCTGCTGAGGTCCTGAAAGCCAGATGGCAGGAAGATACCACAGAACCTAAATTAGCGATCCTTCAGGAGGCTCCCTGGGTTTCTGGATGTAATTGTCGAGAGTGAAAGAGGTGCCCTCTTAGAAAAGCACAACAGTCGTTTGAGAGGGGAAACATTGACTATCCACTTTGTCCGAGATTTTGCAAACGGTTCAATGTGTTGTACGTTTGATATAAGATGAGAACTTTATGAAGTATTCTGTTCAAGAGCCTAAACAATGACTACCCCAGCCCTGCTGCCCCTGTCTGGACGTAGGATACCGCCTCTGAACCTGGGGCCACCCTCCTTCCCACATCACAGGGCTACCTTGAGACTTTCTGAGAAGTTTATCCTTCTCCTTATCCTTAGTGCCTTCATCACCCTGTGTTTTGGGGCATTCTTCTTCCTTCCAGACTCTTCAAAACACAAACGCTTTGATCTGGGCTTAGAAGATGTGTTGATTCCTCACGTAGATGCAGGCAAAGGGGCGAAAAACCCTGGAGCCTTCTTGATCCATGGACCTGATGAACACAGACACAGGTTTGTCTTTTTCCGAAATGCTGGCATTAACATTGAGCAGAGCGTGGTAGGGTTATTGCATCTAATCTGTCTGCCTGTGCCTTTTCATTTCTAGCAGTAAAACGCGTAATAGCCCTAAGAGTTGTGTTCACAACTGGCTAAGACTATGGACTGGAAGGACTGCGGGAGTCCTTTTAAAGTCCAGGTCCTTCGTTTTTCATAGAAGAAACGTGTTCTGACTTAAGCCTGATGGGGACAGTTAATGATGAGGGCACGAGCACTTAATGTAGAGAAATATTGGCATATGCTGCGCCCTTTTTTAGGAAGGTGTTGCATTCGGTCCTTGCCAGCTGCTAGGCTTTGCTGTCAGAGGGCTCTCATTCTCCCGCTTGTCACTGGAAGCTTAGTAGTGAACCTTACTTAAGTTTTTTTTTTTAGATGACAAACATGGACAGACTATGGGGAGCAGCATAGCGAAAAAAGCTTATGTTTGTTATTTTCAGGGGATGTGTGTTGGTGCCCCATATGGAACTCTTAAAGGTATTATTGAAACCTGTATTGCACTTTGTGAGTCGTGTGGATACGATTTAGGTTCTTTTGTTTTCAAATAGAATTTTGTTCTCATTTTTTTGTTTTAATCTAAGGTGAACCATGTCAATCCTTAGGCTGTTAGAACCTGGTCAGTTAAGGACTTCATGTTTTCAGGTCACCAGAACTGAAGGATGAAATGCAAGCTCCAGTTACAATCCCTTTGCATCATTTATATATCTTTTTGAAAAGGAGAATTTGGGAAGAAATTTTATTCAAACCTACCCTCTTTATTTCTTGAAATAATTCTTGAATATGTGAAAAAGATCATATTTGAGTCATGGTTAACTGGCTTTGGTTTTAACTTCTAATCAAGCGTGAGGATCTGAAAAAGCTTAGGTTTAAATATGAGCCTAAGTTGAATACTTGGGAAAATACGCACCCTTGTAATTAGTTCTGCCGCCTAGTAATGTTTCCTTAGCCTTGTTAACCCATTCCTGGGTTGCTAGTTTTTTGCCTTTTTGTTGAACCTTAGCAGATAATTCTGACATTGCTTTATACCATTCTTTTATGACTGCTTTGGAATTTTTGCCATTTTCAACTTTTGAACTCTTTTAGATTTGTTTCTCTCATTTTCCCCTTTGTTTCTTGTGACTTCCAGAAGAATCTGTTATGGTCTGTGAAATGTTAGTAAAATTAACAAGGTAATTTTCCTTGAAACCTCATTTCCTGTGGTGTTTGTTTAAGCTATGGTGAATATTTGGGGAAAATACGTTATTTAAAACTGGTGTCAGAGCTGTTTGACAGCAGCTATGCATTAATATTATTATTGTAAGAAACTGTCGTGTACTACATGGGTTCATTTATATCTTATGTGGTCTAAAAGGCTTAAAAAGGACTTTTTAGATTAAAGACATTTATACAGAAAACTTCTCAATTAGTTGGAGTTAACATCTAAAATTTGAATGATAGATCTGTACATTTTATTCAGAGTTTATAAAGTCAACTTAAGTAGGGTAGTAATTCTTACATTTGTATGGCCCACGAATATATGTGTTTGTGTATTCTTGCTATTCCAGACTGCTAGGTTCTGAGTGTGAAGAGAGAATCATTGTAGAGTTCTAATCACAGAGGATGGTTAGTAAGCCCCATTCTGAGTTTTAGACAGCAAGAGTCTGATTAGCAAATAATGCACATGAGAATTTATTGGAATCTGGTTCCTGAGTTTTAGAAAAGGAAAATTCAAACAGTTCATTTAGTGAAGGATCTCTGTATTACCTCTGTATTCCTGTGGTTGTATATGTATTTTTTATTTGCTTAGTATGTTTTTTCTTGTTTTCTGTATTTGAAATTGTAATCTATAGTGATAAAAATTCTTTTACTTTGGAAAGGAAATCAATTTTAAATTAATTCAACATTAAGTTTAAAATATGGAAATGCAAAACATCAATTTGATGTATTAATACTAATTTAAAAATAATTCAGAAATAAAACCTTTTAGTAGAGTTAGCTGGTACTAAGACCATATCTGTTTTGGATATGAATAAAAAACTTTCTTAATTTAGAAGATACATGTTGACAGTTTATTTTAATCTCTTGTGGAAGAGTTACAGGATAGAGCAGGGATGGTGAACCTGTAGCACGTGTGCCGCAGCAGGCTGTGTCAGGGAGAGCTCTTAACAGGGTCGCCATTGCTGGGACAGAGGGATGAGCCTCTCTCTAGTAAGTAACAGAAGATAAATCATTACTTCTTACAAACAGCAGTTAGAAGTTACATGTCAGATTGGTTTTAATAATGGATCTTTATTAATGGTGTGTAGAGCTCAATTACATAGATTAGTATAGTAGTTTGACACTGATCACAAGTGTGATTTTGAGCAAATTTAAAACTTCTGTGCCTAAGTTGCTTCCTCTGAGTGATAGTAACATCTGCTTTACAGGTAGTACTGAATAAATACATGCAGAGCACTCAGCACAGTTTCTAGAATTGTCAATTATCAGTAAATGTGAGCTTTTATTACTAGTAATTATAATTGTAATTGAATATTTTAATTCTTAGTTTGCTTTCAGTAGTATGTATATTTCTGAAAAGTTGGGTACAGTTTGATTAATATTTCAAAAGAATTTTATTGTCTAAACATTTTATAGCTAGACTACTAGTTAGCAACAGATGTGTATTGAATTGCATGTCATTTTTGTCAGGTCTTGTTTATGTGGAGGTCCCATCTTGGGGAGATAATGGGTTTTAGATAAATGACTGGTTTTAAGTATAATGAGGATTAGGAAGTTGTACTCCATGTGATGAGATCACTTAATGGAGTGACCAGCATATTCCTTGGGAGTGGAGGGCCACGAGAATAGGCAAGGCTTCATTTAGGAAGTGTGGCTCCAAAACTTAGAAGTCTCAAAGTTAAGTAGTTAGTGTTGGAGAGAGGGAAGAAGGGATCCAAGAGGAGCACAGGTATGAGAGTACTGTGGTAAAAAGCTTGGTGTCATTGAGGGTCTGAGAATGTTCAGTGTGGCTGCTGGAGAGGTGGCAGTGTGGGGTCTGATGATGACACTAGGTTAGATTTGTCTTGCATGCAGGTTCTTTGGGCCTCGTCTTTGTTACAGATCAGGAGATTTCATGTCATTTTCGGCATTTCTGATTTCTTTTAAAAAATTAGAGGAACAAGCAACACCCGAATCTGTATTTTCAGATGGAAACGTTGAGCTAGAATCTGGTAGCAGCTGCTCTTTAAGGGGCATGTGCTCATGTGCTATCCATTTTCTGCCACTCAAGGTGTCAAATGAATAAATGTGATAAATCAGTATTTAACCTGGTGGTTGTTGAGTTTGCAATCCCTCGGCAGTGTCCTGGAGAGTTTATAGGTAAGTATTTTGGTTTTGTGCTAAGTATACTTTGAAGAGTCATCAAAACAAAGGAATAACATGATCAGTTTACATATTTAAACATTTTAAACAATCATTTTTGTGTAGGTTGGATGTTTTAAGCAGGTTGTAGGGGCTGTTTCACAGAGATATTAATTTAAGCCCCACTGGAGATAGTGGGGAAGGAGAGGAATTAGTGGAAAAAAGGGGTTACTTGAAGAAATCTTTTTTTTTTTTCTTTTTGTGGTACCGGAAATGGAACTCAGGTCCTTGCGCTAGCAAGCGAGGCAGGCCACCGAACCGGCTGAGCTAAATCCCCGGCCCACTTCAAGAAATCTTAAAACTAGTAGGTTTTATACAAAGTGGTAGTTGGTTAACTGTAGAAGGTGGAAGGTCGAAGTGGGAGTCTAGAATAATTTCTAGGTTTCTATATATGAATGTTGTTATGTTATACACTCATATACATAAAGTGTCATCCTGGCAATTAAAATTTACTTATTTCATTTTTAAAGCTGACATTTGTTTTGTTTAATGGCATTGTACAATAGGGCTGTGTGTGTGTGTGTGTGTGTGTGTGCTTGTAAGGTGAACTTAAATGTTTATTTGGACAGGTGAAGAGTTTCATTTCCCAGTCAAGATTTTGTTACTTTGAATTGACTGCTCGAGGCTCAGTTATGTTTACCTGTGATAGTTTCTTCAGAGGGAAAAAATACAGGCACTGTGGTAAGAAGGACCTAAAGTTTCATCTTGGCTCTGCTAACTAGCTGTGTGACTTGGTACTAGACATAATCGCTCTAAGCCTGTGCTGACCAGTGCAGCAGCCACTAGTCATCGAAGACTGTTGCGCTTGAAATGTAGCTGCTCTTGACTATAAACGAGCTTTGGTGAGTTTCTCAAATTCATGTGATGATTTGTAGTTTATTTTTCATGTAAGAGTAGAAGCGCTCAATTATACTACTATAATTTTAATTTTCTTACCGCCTTTCTTCATTTTATTCCACTTCTCTGCCTGTTTTCTCCTGTCCTGCTTATTAATCGAGGCTTTATGCTCGTATTTGGGGGACATTTTGTTGTTCTATACCCTCATAAGTCTGCTGGATATTCCTTTTCTCTTGTAATATATTTTTGCCCGTTTGGCTCATGGTTATTTTTCCTGTTTCCCTTTATTTAAATGTGAATTATAGTTGAACTATTTGTACTTGACATTTATCAAAAGCAGAGTGGTGTAGTTATCTTTGCTGCATCATTATTGTTACTGTAATCATCATCATTTTGGTCTTTAGATATGGTTTTGAGTAAACACCCTTTTTAGCTCTGAATTGGAGAACAAGTTGATCTGTCCAGTTATCACTCTTTTCTCCTCTCTCCTACTTTTGGTAACATTTTAGTAATCTCATTGTTCTGTTGCTGTTGTAGGTTTTTATGTAATTCCCAAATTCAGAGTACACTTGGCAGTATGGACAGTCACAGAGATTCCATCATCCTGAATGTGGTTGTTCTTCCGGCTTCCTTTACATAAATCCTTCAGGAGTCACTCAGTGACAGTGGTAGGTAATGTAACACTCGGGGAGGTACTGTGTGCTAAGGAGTCTCTCACTGGGTCAGATCCTTGGGTCTCTGAG